TGTATTCATAAGGGATTTGGTTTAGATTATACCTGACTAGCCCAGTGGTTTTTCCTACTGTCTTCAGTTTGAGTTTGAATTTTTCTATTAGAAGCTGATGATCAGAGCCACAATCAGCTCCAGGTCTTGTTTTTCCTGTCTGTGTAGAGCTTCTCCATCTTTGGCTGCAGAAAATATAATCAATCTGATTATGGTATTGCCCATCTGGTGGTTTCGACATGTAGAGCTGATTTCCACATGTAGAGCCGCCTCGTGTTGTTGGAAAAGAGTGTTTATGATGACCAGCTTGTTCTCTTGACAAAACTCTATTAGCCTTTGCCCTGCTTCGTTTTGAACTCCAAGGCCAAACTTCCCTGTTGTTCCTTTTATTTCTTGGCTCCCTACTTTAGCATTCCATTCCCCTAGAATGAGAACATCATCTTTCTTTGGTGTCAGTTCTAAAAGGTGTTGTAAATCTTCATAAAATTGTTCAATTTCAGTCTCCTCAGCAATGGTGGTTGGTGCATAAACTTGGATTATTGTGATGTTGAAAGGTCTGCCTTGGATTTGTATTGATATCATTCTATCATTTTTGAGATTGTATCCCATTACAGCTTTTCCCACTCTTCTGTTGACTTTGAGGGCTCCTCCATTTCTTCTACGGGATTCTTGCCCACCATAGTACAATAGTCTTGACCACTAGAGGGCAAAATAGTGCTTTTCAGCAATTCCCCTTTTCGTTTGGACTGCCAGAAAGATGAATAAGTGGGTCTCACATCAAATCAAGCCTGAACTACCTCTGTAGGCAAAACTGTTGAAACCGAGGTTGTTCCACATTGGACACAGCATGGGAAGGCAGGATTCTCTAGAGAGAAAAAAATAAAGTTGGGAAAGGTTGAAGGCAGCACAAAATAGTGCTTTTCAGCAATTCCCCTTTTCGTTTGGACTGCCAGAAAGATGAATAAGTGGGTCTCACATCAAATCAAGCCTGAACTACCTCTGTAGGCAAAACTGTTGAAACCGAGGTTGTTCCACATTGGACACAGCATGGGAAGGCAGGATTCTCTAGAGAGAAAAAAATAAAGTTGGGAAAGGTTGAAGGCAGCAGAAACAGAAGAGAAGAAAGCAGGAGATAGATTAACTGAAGCCTTGAGTTTACAAGAGCTGGGCAGGGCTGTTGAGGAAAGGACATTTTTGAGTTCACTCATTCATAGGGCTGCCGTAGGTTGGTGGTAACCTGATGGCATGTAACAACAACAACGCACAGAGCTTGGGAAAGAAACAAGATAACCTTGATATCTTAATACAGGATGAAAATGTGGTTTAATAGGCATTTCCAAAACCTGGTGGAATAAGACTCATGACTGGAACTGAAGGATGTGACATATTCAAAAGGAAGAGACTAAACAGGAAGACGTAAAGAGTAAAAGTGTGTGTAAAAATGTGTGCAACTATGAGGACATATGTCAGATAGAACATAGAATGCTGGTGGTGAGCTTTTGGGTAAAAATAAAAGGAGAGAAAAAGAACAGGGATATTATTCTGGGGATTTACTAAAGACATCCTCTCCCTACTGAATATTTAGATCATGTTCTCCTAGATCAGACTACCAAACATTTAGAGAGGAAGGATACAGTGGTGTAGTGTGGGTTGCCTGCACCTGAGGCAAGGCAAATATTTTGGGTCATGGTTCAGGTCTGTAATGCAACACATGGGTAGGGAAGGAGAAGTCCCTGTGGCGGTGCCATGAAAGAGCTGTGGAACTGCTTGAGGTCCACGCTAGCAGCAGGGGGCCCAGTGCCCCAGGCAGCTTGGACCCGGACTGCCAGGAGAGGGAAGAGGAGCATAAGGAGTGGCTGTGGGAGTGCATTGGGCAGGGTGGCCTGCATGCGACTAAGAAATCTGCACTCCTGGTGACTGCCCTTGTAGCTCCCCACCCCATGTGGGAGGGACATATTGTCTATAATGGAAAAGTTTAACAATAGAACCATAGAATAATGAAGCTGGAAGGGTCTTATAAGGCTGTTGAGTCCACCCCCATGCTCATTTCAAAAATACAAATCAAAGGATATCTGCCAGGTGGCTGTCTAAATTTCTCCTGAATGTTGCCAGTTATCAGATGTCTTGGAGTGGATCCTCACAAACATGGAAGAACTGCGCAGCAAGTTGGAAATG